TAACTAACCAGGTATGTAATTTGTTGGTGACTCAGAGTTGATAATGAGATTCTCATATTTTTCACATGATCGTGCATGAAAGATGTGTTAGTAATTCGAATGCTAGAATTGGGATCAATTATGATGATTCATGTGTCCTATGAATTTGGAGACTGGGAGTTCTCAAAAGCATATTGTTTCATGGTTGTGGCATGGTTGAGGTGAGTATTTTAATTAAACTCAGTGGAGGCACTAGTTGCATTAATTATTTGTGATAGCTACGCCCTAAGAGTGCGCATATATGTATGGTTTGAGACCATGTGTGGGCTTCAGAGAATGTATTCATACTCAGAAGAATTCCTAGGCTATGATATGCCTAGAGTTGACTGTTAAGCGTAAAGTTATAACGTTTCTCGTATTCATACCTTTGTCGAGAACTATCTGGACTACACTTGAGGTTACAAAGAGACTAATTCTCTCAATAAATTGGGTAGTTACTATTTCGGTGTTAACTTGCTGATTTAAGTGGTGATAGCACACTTTGCACCTGCCTACTCTATGACGTGTTATTTATACCAGTCCAGGAGCATGAGAATCTTAATTCATTTATCATATACATGTATACTTATTTGATTGCTCCTGTATGATATGCTTGGACTGGGGGCCTGTGGCAATGCCATGCAGATTATATTATTGGCACGTGAGTTGTCCGTGCGGATCCATATACTAATATTATTGGCATGTGAGTTGTCCGTGCGGGTCCAGATATTGATACTATAGCACGTGAGTTGTCCGTGCGGGTCCAGATATTGATACTATAGCACGTGAGTTGTCCATGCAAGTGGTGTTAATGTGATCTCTAGAAGAGCTGGTTATTGTTATTAAATTTGTGTGTCTTGGTTCTACTATATATAATGAGCTTATAGCATTGCAGTTGTGGTGGTGCTTGTTGAACTCGCAATACGATTCTCTTCTTTGAGACATTTTCCATTTTTGGGTACCCGGGTTGCGCAGTTGGGGCTTGAGTTATATTGGCGTCACATGTTTGTGGGATAGTTGTGTTTAAAAATATAAGGTCATTGGGCCTAGAATGTGTACTATCGGATTTGATTACGGTATATTTGGGAGGATGACATCGAAAATCGGCTTAGAAAGTGATTATGGTTTGGGTTGGGGTGAGAGAGCTCCATGACTTGTTGATCTAATAAGTGATTATGAGATTCTGCGTGTTTATTTAAATATCAGTAGTGTACGAAGTTTTTGGAAAGTTTTGGCTTGATATGGGGTTTAATACTATTACCGGGTTAGTTTGGAGTAGTTACTGTGATTGAAAATGGTGCTGCGAGCATGCGAGTTGTGTAGTATGTTACGTGATTATATCTGGGGTTATGGTTATGGCTTGATATAGCTTGTTCAGATTCATACAGTATGTAGATGTGAGATTCGGGTCTTGAAAAGAAATTTTGAATGTTGGAAATTGAAATCCAAGGTTTATGGGCTAAGGTTGAAGTAATGATCTTCAATTACGTGGTATTGTCAGACCTATATGGAATAGGATGGCGTGGGATCACCCCCAGGTATGTGCGTGGTAAGATGAAATGGTGATGTGATGGCTTGGAAACAACTCTTGGAACGTTCGAGGACGAACGTATGTTTAAGTGGGGGAGAATGTAACGACCCGGCCGGGCGTTTTGAGTATTTTAGCTCCGTTCCCCCATTTACTTCTCAATTTACACTTTTCAGTTGTTGTGTGACTTGCCGGGGTAATTGGTTCGAGTCCGCTGAGGTTTTGGAATGAATTGGAACACTTAGTTCCAAGGCTTAAAGCTTAAGTTAAAATAGTGACCAGATGTCGACTTATGTATAAACGATCCCGGAATAAAGTTTTTATGATTTCAATAGCTCCGTATGGTGATTTTGGACTTAGGACCGTGTCCGAAAAATTATTTTGAAGCCAATAGCTAAATTAGGCTTGAAATGGCTAAAATAAAAATTTAAGTTTGGAAGTTTGACCGGGGAGTTCACTTTTTGATATCGGAGTCGGAATCTAGTTCTAAAAATATTCATAGCTCTATTATGTCATTTATGACTTGTGTGCAAAATTTGAGGTCAATCGGACTTGATTTGATACGTTTCGGCGTCGAATGTAGAAGTTGGAAATTTTTAATTTTATTAAGCTTGAATTGCGGTATGATTCATAATTTTAGCGTTGTTTGATGTGATTTGAGATTTTGACTTAGTTCGTATGATATGTTAGGACTTGTTGGAATATTTGGTTGGGGTCCCGGGGGCCTCGGGTGTGTTTCGGGTGTGTTTTAGTTTATTTTGGACTACTTTGGATGCTGATTTTCTGATGTCTGTTGTTGTTCTTCGCGTTCGCGAGGAGCCTCTCACGTTCGCGAAGAATGATTTGTCTTCTGGGATTTTGTTCTTCTTGTTCGCAAAGAGACTCTCGTGTTCGCGAAGAGACTCTCGCATTCGCGAAGAAGGAAATCTCTGTTGCACAAGTCTTACTTTGGAGGCTCATATCTCGCAATCTATAAGGAATTTGGAGATAATCTAAAAATGAACGTTATAGTTCTTTGTGTATAGTTTTCCTAAACGTAAACCATTTGTCATTTGGAGTTGTGTACAAAACGTTATGGTGAATAAACTACAGGCTCTCTGGGAAGTTTTTGAAAATCTTTATTGCACAAGGTTGACTTTGGAAGCTTATATCTCGCAATATATAAGGAATAGTGAGATGACCAACAAATAAAAGTTATAGCTCTTGGTGTCTAGTTTTCATAAAGTTAAACCATTTATTATTTGGAGTTGTGTACGAAACGTTATGACCATTAAACTATATACTATCTAGGAAGGGTTTGAAAATCGCGGTTGAGGAATTTGTTCATCGCGAACGCGAAGAACGAACCTCTTGGCAGCAGAATAAAGTCCAAATTCCTCTCATTCTTCTATTTTTGGACCAAGGAAGCTCGGGCGATTTTTCGAGAGTTGTTCTGGAAAAATATTGAGGTAAGAATTCCTAACTCGATTTTGGTTAAAATACATGAATCTATTATTGTGTTTTTCATGAAATTAGTGAATTGGGATGAAAATAGTAGAAATTTTCTATACCTTAAATTGAGGATTTGGAGGTCGATTCGTTGTCGGAATTTGATAAAATTGATATGGTTAGACTCGTGGTTGAATGAAATTTCGGATTTTAAACTTTTGTCGGGTTCCGAGAAGTGGGTCGCACGGACAATTTTTGAGTGCAATTTCGGGTTTTGTTGGAAAATTAGTATTTTCAAATAAAATTAATTTCAATAATTTGTATTGACTGAATCAAATTAATTGTGGCTAGATACGAGGCTTTCAGAGACCAATTCGCGAGACAAAGGCATAGCGGAGTAAAGAATTACACGGTTTGAGATAAGTAACACTTCTAAACTTGGTTCTGAGGGTATGAATCCCTAAAGTACGTATTGTATGAATTGTTTGGAGATGACGCACATGCTAGGTGACGGGCGTGTGGGCGTGCATCATAGGAATTGTGACTTAATTGATTCTGTGTAAGTTGCATAATTAAATAAATGTCATTAACCATATATCCTCCACGTGTTAGAAAAATTGAGCTGAGACTCATATTAAAGATCCTGTTTAGGCTACACGCCGATATATTTTGGGACCCACATGGGTCGTATTGCTGTTGAACTATTTGTTTAAAATATAATTTTGCACTCAGTCACATATGTCACTTGCATATCATATCTCAGTCTCTATTGCCATTTATTGATACATCATATCATTATGTCAGGTTGATTTTCGTGTCATTGAAAGCCCAAGAGACTGGAGATTCTGAGTGATATTTATGTTAATTTATTTATGCCTGGATTTGGCTATTATAGCGCTTGGACTGAAGGAGCCCCTCCGGAGTCTGCACCCCCCACAGTGAGCGCGTTATATATATATATATATGGGGGATGGATCTTCCCTGGACATGGATCTTGCCCGAAGCATTTATATATTGAGGGATGAATTTTTTCTGGACATGGATCTTGTCCGAATTATTGATATTTGAGGATGGATCTTCCTCTGGGTTGGATTGGCATTATACAGTACTGGGCGACTGACTGTCAATTGATGTGTACATATATATGAGGGATGGATCTTCCTTGGGCTCGATTGGCCATATACAGTACTGAGTGATTGAGTATTTTTAGATTGTGAGTACACGAAGTTTTCACTAATGTGCATCACATACGGTATGTACATTGGCATGTAGATACATAGATGTAATATTCCTCATAGTGTTCAAAATTGATCTATTTTTACCTGTACTGAGTTTAACTGTTGAACTTGAAAGCATGCCTACATTTCTGTACCGTTATTTCTATACTGGACTGTACCTGCTAAGCTTGTCACTACTTTCAACCCAGAGATTAGTTTTGTTACTTATTGAGTTGGTTGTACCCATATTACACTCTGCTCCTCGTGTGCAGATACAGGTGCTCCCGTATACTACGGTTGCTAGACTTGGTGATTTATCTGTTGGAGACTATCAAGGTAGTTGTTTGGCGTCCGCAGACCTTGTCTCTCTTCCCTTCAGTTATTGTGATGTTCTACATTTTTCGGACAATATTCTTATCAGTCAGACTTTATTATTATTTAGATGCTCATGTACTGATTGACACTGGATTTAGAGAGTGTATTTTACATTAGTATGTGAGATTTTTCTATTAAATTTATATATTATGTTTTCAAATTTAAAAGAAATTGTAGCTTATTGAGGTTGTCGGTTTGCCTAGTATTGAAATATGCGCCATCACGACTAGTATTGAAATATGCGCTATCACGACATGCGGATTTTGGATCGTGACAGTTTTCCAACAGTTTCGGCCTATTATATGTACGTATTACACATGTTTTAGAAGAAAAATGCACTTACCTATATACATTAAAAAAGAATGAATTTGTGATTGTTAGGCAGTTGGCAGATTAAACCCATCTCTTTTAAAAATTAATTTATCTTGAAAGAAGGCCCCCTGCGAAGATCGAACTCGCAACCTATCGCTTAGGAGGCAAATGCAATACCACTATGCTATGGAGGCAAGACATTGGCATTTCGTTTTCTAAATATATTTCTTCTGTCGAATTATCTAGGAACATTTATTTACTGTACTAATTCTACGGCATTTGATCCATTTAAAACCAGTATTTTAAAAGGCGTTTTCGGGGCAAGCCCTGGGGTGAGGCGCACCAAAAACGCCCCGGGGCGATGGTGTGGGGCGAAAGTCTCAAGAGGCGTATGCCCAGCAATTCGGGGCGTACGCCCGGGCGTTTGAGGCGAATTTTTTTAGTGAGGCGTAAGCCCCATAGATTTTTTCAAATTAAAACAAAATTTGTTGAATAAGTCTTTCATATAATACCCAAATTTTCAAAATTCAGCTTGGTAATTACTCAAAAGTTTTAAAAAGGAACTAAAATGTATTAAATTTAAAAGTCAAGACCTTTTTTATTGATTGAAGCCCCAATTCATGGTCTTTTTCAATTCTTTATCTTATCCGCTAGTTTGCTAATATCTCCCAAAAGCAACGAATATTCAGTTTTTTTACAAATACAAAGAGAACTTTATTCTCCTTCGTAGCAGCAAGTTCAAAATTCAAATTGAAGGTTAGTCATCATTTTTGTTCCTCCGTGTAGAAAACTTGATTCTTTTCGACTCAAGTTACTGCGGCTTCTAAGTAGCGTATAATAAATTGTTTTGACTAGTTTTTTGTGGG